TTATTATTTAATTTTTAGTCTTTTTGAGACAAGGTCTCCTTGTAGCCCCAGCTGGCCTGGAACTCACTATGTAGACCATGCTGGCTTCGAACACAGAGATTGGCCTGCCTCTGCCTCCCGAGTGCTGAGATTAAAGGCGTGCACCACCACACCCAGCTCACAACCCAGCTCTTATCCTATACACTGACCCCTCCCAACTGCCTCAATCTGTTTGCTCCTACTAGAGTCTTCTGCCTCTAGTAGGATCAGACCACAGGAGGCACACCAGCCTGGGATGGGAGCTTGGGCCAGAGTACCATCACACCTAAGAAGTCTTCTTATAGCCTGTGTCCCTGGCTACCTTGGCAGTGACTCAGTGCTGTCTGTCACCACCTTAGAAGGTGAAACCCAAGACTAATCTGCATGTCTGCCTCTTCCCTACTCTCTTGGAGTGCCCACTTCAGGGGAAGCTGCTCCTCCACCTGGCATTGTCAGGACTGACTCTGGGACCACCTATGTTCTCCCCACTCCCACCCCTCTGTAGCATCAGGAGTCTTTGTCCAGAGCAGCGAAGCACTGCAGGTCATCACCAATGTGATCCATGCCAATGGGGACAGAGGCATCACCATTGCTCAGAGCAGCCAGCTTACCAGGGTGGCCAACAACAGCATCTCCTGCAACCGCCAGAGTGGGGTCAAAGTTGAAGCCCAGTGCAAGGTGGAGCTCCGGGGCAATGGTATCTATGACAACAGAGGCCATGGCATCATTACCAAGGGCGACAGTACTGCGGTGGTGGAAAATGACATCATTGGCAACCGGGGCAGTGGGCTGCAGTTGTTGCCCAGGTCTGACACTAAGGTGAGTACATGCACATGTATGTGATGCATGCTGCCAACACATGGTCCAGGTCCGGCTTGCAACCTCTGCTGAGAAACAGAACTATCAGCACTTGGGGTACAGGGGGAATCAGTTCTTCCAGAATTCAATCAGGGAAACTTGGGTGGGCTTCACACGGGATACATACAAGCTAGGTCCTAAAGGATTCTCTAGAAATAAACTCTAGGAGTTCCTCAGCAAGAAGCCAGGAGTGGGGACATCACTTCCTGAGTGTCTTCTTGGTTCTAAGCCAAAGTCACATCTATTTTAGCTCTTTTATCGACAGAATAAGACCTGGTTTGAAGACAGAAATCCTGCCTCCAGCACAACTGTTGTCCATACCTCATTCACAGAACTCATTGTCACATTCTTTAGGAAGATTCTCTGAGTGCCCCAGGCCATTTGAAGTGCCCCTTGCCTGGACTTTTAGGGCACTTCAGCTTCCCCTCCCCCCTATACACCTCACAGAGCAGTTCCACGGTGCTTCTTATGTTTCTTTACCTGCCTCCCCACATGACCTTGAGCTCTCAGCACCTTTTATGTAAAGCACTGCACTGGGTTTTAGAGTAGAACCAAACAAGTAACAGCCCATGCCCCTGCGACATTATCCAGCAGACTACTGAGCTCTGAAGCTTCATGAATCAGTGACTTAGTTAAGGGTTAGAGAACTCCTTAACTGCATCTGAGCCCTGTGAGAGCAAGAGGGAGAGGGCACACTGTTGACTCAGCCTGGCTTCCGGCACAGAGCCTTTCTCTGCTAGGCCCTTATACACTATTCCTTCTTCCTGGGACAGGTCTCTCTGATTCTCTAGCTGGTAAACACTTACAGCCTGCCATTGACTCAGCCTGGCTTCCGGCACAGAGCCCTTCTCTGCTAGGCCCTTATGCACTATTCCTTCCTCCTGGGACAGGTCTCTCTGATTCTCTAGCTGGTAAACACTTACAGCCTGCCCATCACCTCCTCCAGGATGCCTTCTGTGGCTCTCTCAGGCTATCTTCAGTGCCTTGCTCCAAGTTCCTTTGGCTCTGCTGAACTCAGTACTCTCAGATCCCATAGTTTCTTAATACTCACTTGCCTGGCTCCCACCAGTTCATGGGTCTCTGAAGTATGATATGCTGTGGCTGGTTCTCCTAGGTACTAAAGAACCGGATCCACTCATTCCGGGCCTATGGCATTGCAGTACGGGGACGTGTCAAGGCCCTAGTACAAGAGAACATCATCTTCCAGGGCAAGACCAACAAGACCATCTTCCAGCAGATCACTAACAACCGAGAGTGCATCATGCAGAACAACAAGTTTCTGGTCTTCAAGAAAAAGTGAGTGGGCTAGAGAGAGGGTCTTCTAGTTTGCCTTCAATTGCTGTGACAAAAACATTCTGACAATACCAACTTGGGGAGGAAAGGGTTTATTTGGCTGACATCTCCCAGGTCGCAGTTCATCACTGAGGGAGCCCAAGGTAGGAAGTTAGGGCAGGAACCTGGAAGCAGGAGCTGAAGCACAGGCCATGGAGGAACGCTGCTTACTGGCTTGTTCCCTGTCCCCTGCTCAGCCTGCTTTCTTATACAACACAGGCCCACCTGCCCAGGGGTGGCACCACTCACAGTGATCTGGGGCCTCCCACATTACTCAACAATCAAGAAGTTGCCCCACAGACATGGCCACTGGCCAGTCCTATGGAGGCAATTCCCTAATTGAGGCTCCCTCAACCCAGGTATCAAGTTGACACTAAAGCTATCCAGCACAGAGGGCTGAGTGGGTAAAGTACTTGCCATAAAGCATGAGGCCTGTGTTCAGATCCCTAGCACCCACATAGCTGGGTTCAGTGTCTTGCATCTATAACCCCAGCACTGAGGGATAAAGACAGGCAGATTCCAGGGGCTCGTGGTCACCCAATATGGTTGAAATGCCATAAAGCATGAGGCCTGAGTTCAGATCCCTAGCATCCACATAAAAGCTGGGTTCAGTGTCTCACATCTATAACCCCAGCACTGAGAGATAAAGACAGGCAGATTCCAGGGGCTCGTGGTCACCCAATATGGTTGAAATGATGAGTTTCAAGTTCATTGAGAGACCCTGCCTCAAAAGATAAGGTGAAGAACAGAGGATGACAATCCAGCATCAACACATGGAAAAGGAAGGGGTTTACTTGACCTGACCTGAGAGACCTGATAGTTTGAGGGGTCAGCCCATCGTAGTGGGGAAGACATGACAGTGAGGCAAGCTTCAGCTGTGGCAGCAGGAGCATGAGGCAGCTGGTCTCCCTGTGTCTGCAGTCAGGAGGTAGACAGACAGAGGTGAATGCTGTTCTGCTTGCTTTCTCTTGATTCTCTCCAGAACCTCAGCCCATAGGGTGATGCCACCCATATTCAGGGTTATGTCTCTATCCTCCATTAAACCTCTCCAGAAATACTCTCATAGACACACTCAAAGGTCCATTTCCTAGTTAGCACTAATCTAGTGAAGTTGACAATGCAGATTAACTATTAAAGCCCCTTTTGTACTTTCATGGTACCACCCTACACACACACACACACACACACACACACCCTACTTGCATATGAAATGAGGTATATGGCTTTCTGCATCTGGCTCATCCACTTAATGCAATTATCTCCAGTTCCGTCCATTTTCCCACAGACGTCATACTTTCATTCATCTGTTGGTGGACTTCTAGACTGGTTTCTTTTCCTGGCCTTTGTGAATAGTGCAGCAGTAAGGAGACGTGTGCAGGTGTCTCTGGTGAGCTTACTTAGAGCTCTTTGGGTGTACGCCTGGGAAAGGTGCAGTTCCATCTGCGTAGTTCTAGTTCCAGCATTTTAGGAACCGCCACACTGATTTCCAGAGACTGTACCAGTTTATACTCCCACTAGCGGTGTATAAGACTTCCTCTTTCTCCTCATCCTCACCAGCATTTGTTACTATTTGTTTCATGATAATGGCCATTCTGCCTGGGGTGAGGTAGAATCTCAAAAGTTTTGATTTGCATTTCCCTGATGGCTAAAGATGTTGAACACTTTTTAAGATACTTATTGACCATTTGTACTTCTTTTCTGAGAACTGTCTCTTCAGTTCATTAGCCCATTTATACATTGGATAGTTTGGTTTTTGATGTTTAATATTTTTTTGTCTTTTTTTTTTTTTTGAGACAGGGTTTCCCTGTAGCCCCAGCTGGCCTGGAACTCACTGTGTAGGTCAGGCTGACCTTGAACTCCCAGAGTTCCACCAGCCTCAGCCTCCACGTGCAGCTAATTTTTGAAAGTATATATTCTAGGTATTAAACCTCCCTTTCCCTTTCATCTAATGTATAATTGGAAGAATATTTTTCCCCAAAGTTCTTAGGTGTTGTGGTCAGGCTTATTAATTTTTTTTTTGAGACAAGGTCCCCGTAGTCGCAGCTGGCCTGGATTCGCTAATGGAGACCAGACTGGCCTCGAACTCACAGAGATCCGCCTGCCTCCGCCTCCCAAGTGCTAGGATTAAAGGTGTATGTGTCACCACGCCCAGCTGCTTATTAATTTTTTTAATTTTTGCTTTGTTTTGTTTTTTTTTTGAGACAGGGTCTCAGTGTGTACCCCTGGCTGCCTCTGCCTCCTAAGTGCTAGGATTAAAGGTATGTGCCACCAAGCCTGGAATTTTTTTTTTCTTCATTGATATACAAATATATTTCCTTAAATTGGGCATGGTGGAGCACACCTTTCATCCCAGCACTCCGGAGGCAAAAGCAGGCAGATCTCTGTGAGATTGAGGCCAGCCTGGTCTACATAGTGAGTTCCAGGCCATCTGGGGCTTCATGGAGACCCTGTCTCAAAAAGACCGAAAAACAAAAACAAAATGTATCTCCTTGCCTTTGTCCCCCATCCCGGACGCCCTTTCTTCTGGTTAGTTGAGTCTGTTGATGTTTTCCACTCTGTCTTTTGATTGAGTTTTACATTTCTAAAATGGGGGGTTTTATTATTTTGTTTTTGCAAAAATCTAAATTTTTTATTTATTATTTTTTAATTTTATGTGTATAAGTATATTGCCTGAATGTATATAAGTGCACCATGTCCTGCAATGCCCACAGAGGTCAGAGAGGGCATTGGATCCCCTGGAACTGGAGTTCAGACAGTTGTTAGCCACCATGTGGGTGCTGGGAATTGGACCCAGGTCCTTTACAAGAGCAGCCAGTGCTTTTAACCACTGAGCCATCTCTCCAGCTCCCAAAATTTAAATTAGTTTAAAAAAAATTTTTGTAGTTTTTGAAAGAAGTTCTCACTGGAACTCAATTTGTAGATTACGTTGGTCTCAAACCCACAGAGACTTGCCTGCCTCTGCCTCCCGAGTGCTAGATTACAGGTTTGTATCATTCATTATGCCTGGCTCAAATCTCAACTTTTTTGCTGTATTTTTCTTCTATATTGTTGGCTTTTTCATTCACTAGATTTCTCATCCATTTTGCTGACCTGGCCTCCAGGGGCACCTGTACTCAAGTGTATACACACACACACACACACACACACACACACACACAACATACACAGATAAAAAAAGTAAATCTTTAAAAAAATGTTTAAATACTACTGAAAGTATAGTAGAGAGAAAAAAATACAGGGATGAAAAAGATTGCCCAATAATAGAAAAGATGCACAAACACCATTAAATGAATATGTGAAGAGGAATTTTTTTTTAGTATTTTTATTTTATGTGTATGGATATATTGCTTGCATGTGTGTAAGTGCACCCATGTCATGCAGTGCCCTTGGAGGACAGAAGAGGGCACATGGGATCCCCTGGAACTGGAGTTAACGACGGTTGTTAGCTGCCAAGTGAGTGCTGGGAATCAAGCTCCCACTCTCTACAAGAGCAGCCAGTGCCCTTAACCACTGTGTCATCTCTCCAGCCCTGTGAAGAGGAATTTTTCTAGTTAAAAAAAAATTTTAATACACAAAGGTAAAAATACTGCTCTCAAACTCAAGGGTCGTTCTCAGTTGATGAGATCTGCTCCGGGGCTCAGGCTCAGAGACAAGGCTGCCTTTCCCTGTGCCGGTTACTGCTTGACTGACTGAGCCTGCTGTAGCCCACACTTTTCAGCTTGTTAGTGTTCTGCCTTGCTGCTGAACCATCTCACCAGCTGACTCCTCCCTAGTAGGTCATGGAGGCCACTCCTAATCCATCTTGCCCAGAAGTCACTCGTTCATTTGTCTTGCTGAATAGTTCCCATGCAGGCAGCAGCTTGTTTGCCCGTTCATCAGCTGGAGGGCTTTAGGTAGTATCTCATTTGGGGTGACTTTAAGTCATGTTCATGCTCACACAGCTGGGAAAAAAGAAGACAAAAGAAAAAGGAAGCCACTCCAGATCCTTAAAGGTGGGGAGGTCAAGGCCTACAGAGGAAATGTGACCAAGGTTCCATGTAGAACTAGAGACAGTTCTGCCCCTTAGTTTCTCACTCCCCCACTTTGGGCAGTCACTAACTTAAGAGGTAAAACCTACACCCAGATTTGAACTGTGGGATCTGGAGAGCTGGAGCCGAAGGTGAGACTGCAGGACGGTCCAGCAAGCGCTTAGCCTCTGGGTTCACTGGCTTTCCTTTTGCACTCGCAGGTCTGACACCTGGCGCCTGGTGAACCCACCAGCACGGCCTCACCTTGAAAGTTCTCACAGGGGCTCCTCTGCAGCCCACAGTGGGCAGAAGGTGACAGCCATGGCAACCAGGATCACAGCCCGTGTGGAAGGTGGTTACCACAGCAACCGCAGCATCTTTTGTACCATCCTGTAAGGAAGAACACTTGCCCCAGGCTCAGGCCTCAAAGGGTGCTCAGAAGAGCTAAGAGGCCAGGACTCTTGATGGAAATTGTGCCTGGGGAGACTCTCAGCCCCACCGCTATCCATACCACCATCACACCCTAAAAGTGGGTCCCAGGCCTCCTGGGGACTAAGGACAAGGTACCTCTAAAATCCTTTAGCCCCAAGCCCTCAGCAAGAAGGAACTTGGAAACATTTCCCCAGGAGAAAAGGGAATAGCAGTTAAGAGATTGTGAAGAGGGGGGAAACACGAACAGTACAAGAAGTTTTTAAGTCACTAGTATTTCAGGTTACAGGGAACCTCTTTACACAGACAAACCCAGACTCTTCTCAGGGAAGAGAATACTCACTTCTAATGAAGTGATTGTGGTGGGCTGGAAACAACTGCTTCCTTTCCTGGACCTGTCCCTCAACATTTGGTCCCTCTGGGGTCAGTAGCAGCCTCCCAGCTTCCTCTGGGGGCTTCAGTATTTTTAAGGACAATTCTTAGTTTGGGGCATGGTCCTGTGAGTAAAGAAGGGCCTTGGAACAAGGAACTCTTAACTGAAATGCTGTCCAGGAATGATGGGGCATACTATAAGTAAGGAGCAGGTGGCTGCCTTCGGGTATACAGGCAGGTGCTGGGCTGGGCAGTGTAGGAATGAAGAAAGTTCCACTGTCCTCAAGGAGTTCCCCAAGTTGAGGACATTTGTTCAGTGCCTGCCACAGGATTCAGATTGTGAGTGCACACTGTAGCTGTCCCTCCCAGCTCCATCCAGATGGAGGTGCCTGGACCCTCCACATGTCCATGTTCTTATGGATGACCAGCCCTACCATGTTCCCCACTCTGTGCCTTGGCTCAAGCTTGTTTCTCTTCCAGCATGCCCTTCCCTGCCATCTCCATATGTGCAGACCCCACCCATTCCTCAAGGTTTAGCTCAGACACTGCTATCTCCATTTGACTTTCCCTTGCTCTACATGACAATATTGGCCCCCTCTGAGCCTCAGTCACCCTCCTCTTGCTCCCTCTCAGGGCACTGAGCACTTTCTGCCTTGTTTTAGAACTTTCTGGGTCCATGTCCTGTCCCAGCCATTTACTTGTGAACTCTGAAGGCAGAGCCACATCTGTATCCCTAAGTCCTGGCCCAGAGCTGGGGTAGTTAGTGGCCCAAGTGAAGAAGACCAGCTCCCAAAGGCCTTTACTGAACCGTACTGTGAATGTGTCAGGTTTTGAGTCAGGTGGGCTTGAACCCCACTGAGGAAGGGGGCTGAATGCAGGTCCAGCTCAGCCTCATGATCCCCTTCCACTCAGCCTTTACTGCAGGGCCTTCACCAGCCTTTGGGGGTCATTCTTGCACTGGACCAGATCCTAGGCTGGTTCTATGGGGCCCTAGGTGCTGCTTTAGTAGGTGGGTGGGAGGGGGGAGTTGGAGCCAGGAGCTCTGGCCTCTCCTCATGTCCTCTGGGAACAAGAACACTGGTCTTTCCCATTCTAGCAATCCTTTGCACTCTGTCTGGTGGCCCCTATGTGAGTCGCTGTATAAAATGCTGCCTTTGTTATTTTGTAAGAAATGACTTTTTGTGAACCAAGTACTTATGAAAATCTCAACCAAAATAAAGTTCTATATTTTAAAAGAGGTGCTTTCGGGAACTTTCCTTGATCCAAGAGTTTGTTGGAGCTTCAAGTGGCTGGTAGGCTCTGGTCTCCCAATAGGTACTACTGCCTCCTCTGGTAAGGAGATCCCAGGACCCTTGTCACATCAGCTTGTATCCACCATGGCTCAGAATTCAAAACTGGAAAGGGCTGTGTCTTGAGGTTTCCCTCTTGTCATTCAAAGCCCCACCCATGAGCCTTTTTGAAGATCAACAGTAACACCCCCTTTGTAGCTCACCTACAGATCCACATTCCTAACTTCAGTTACTCAGCATCTCAAATCTACCACATTCACATTAGCTGAAAAACTAGTACTTAATACTTTAATGTTTTACAAACATTACGTGTATGATTGTATTGCCTACATTGTAAGTGCACGGTTGTCCTGCAGTGCCCCTGGAGGCCAGAAGAGGGTGTCAGATCCCCTGGAACTGGTGTAATGGACAATTGTTAGCTGCCATGTGGGTGCTGGGAACCAAGCCTGGGTCTTCTGCAAGAGCAGCCAGTGCTCTTAACCATCTCTCCAGTCCATACTTACTAAAATTTTTACATTTGTGTACACGGGCATCACATGGAGGTCAAACGACACCTTGCAGGAGTTGGTTTTCTCATGTGAGTTCTGGGGATTGAACTCAGGTTGTTAGGCTTAATAGCAAGTGTTACTTACTGAGCCATCTTGGCAGCCCTTGTATTAAATATCTTTGATTTGTCTGAAAAATTCATAGAAAATTATTTGGTTTGATTCTCTGCAACTGCTCCTATGCTAAGGAGACCTTGGCTTTTGAACTACCTCACCTCTGAACAGGGACATTTAGGGACAGCTCTACCTCTTGTTAAGTTCTTACATACTGTTCATTTTTCAGGAGCTTGTTGTATTTAGCCAAGGCTGGCCTTGAATTCCTGTTCCTCTTCCCCTACCTCTCAAGTGCTGAGATTACAGGCATGCACCACCGTTCCCAGCTCATAGACTAGGTTCTTGTATGTTGCCATCTTTCCTATGTGTCTCTTCCATCATGTCTGGAGTTTTTCATCACTGACTAGCAAGAACTTTTTCTTCCTGTATGTGTAACGGTGTATTTGCAGTGTACCTGTGCCTGCAGAGGCCAGAGGAAAGTCTCAGGTGTCTTCTGTCACTCTGCCTTATTCTTTTGACACGATCTCTCCCTAAACCTGGAGTTTGGGCTTTTCAGCTAGGCTGGCAGACAGCAAGCCCTGGTGATCCTTGTTTCCTCCTCCCACAGCACTGTGGTTTGTTCCATGGGTGCTGGCTTCCAAACTTAGGTGCTCACTTACACAGCCAACACCTTTAACCATTGAGCTTTCTCTCTAGCCTTAAGAGAATTAATTTTTAAATTTTTTTTCTATTTGTATGTAGGGGGCTGGGGTACATGCCATAGCTCACATGTGGAAGTCAGAGAACAACTTGCCAGAGTCAGTTCTCTTCTACTATGTGGGTTCCGGTAATCAAACTCAAGATGTCAAGCTTTACATCAAGTACCTTTACCTGCTAAGCCACCTCACTGGCCCAGAATCATTTCTTACAAGCATCTGTATCTTGCATTAAGTACCACATCTAGTCTGCAACATCAACCCAAGATGGGCTTCCTCTGAAGTGCCTTAAACTTATTTGTAAAATTATGACCACAGAATCATCTGATACTGTGGAAAATACTCAAGCTTTAGCCACAGCTGTTAAAGACCCTAGAAACTTCATTCAGGCAAGGCCTAAATCTGAAACCAAGTGAGGGCACCAGGTTGATAATCCATGTTTTTCTTATATCCCTCTCCAGCTCCATCCACTTGTCTGACCCTGACCCTCTGAGTGGCTTCAACCAGGCAGAAAAGCTGTGATCATCACTTCCTGATTTGGTTCCACATTATAGCAGGCTATAAAGTAGCTTGCTATGGCTATGGCAATGGCATCCTACAGTCGCCCCTGACAGAGCTGGGAGCTTCCTTGAGCCTGGCTATGTTAGCTCCTCCTCTACTGTTCTTTCTAGATTCTCCTTATAAACCTTCAGCCAAGAGCTCACAGTTCAGCGTGATGAGATCTTTCAACTTTGACTTCTCTAGACTCATCTTCCCAAATCCCACATAAGAACCAACATGAGAAGCATCAGTCATTTATAATCACAGCAATGCCAAAAGTTGAAGTCGAACCTGGGCCATAATTAACTTCTGCACAAGAGAGGCAGAGGTGGGAAGCTGGCTTTTGGTTTGATAGCCATGATATAGTAAAGCCCTTCGGGGAGGCAAGAGTCCCAGACTGACCAGAACTTAGCAGTCCTCCTGAGTACTGGGATTGCAGGTATGCACCACAATGTCCAGTCTGCTTCCTTTTATATAAATTTATTATTTTTTTACATCAAGTGTTTCTGTGTGTGGGTTTGTGAACATGAGTGCAGAGCCTGTGGACACCAAGAAAGAGTGTCAGATCCCTTAGAGCAGGAGTTTCAGGCAGTTGTGAGCCACCTGATGGTGCTGAGAATCAAACCCAGTTCCTCTACAAGAGGAGTAGGTGCTCTTAACTGCTGAACTACCTCTCCAGCCCCTGCTTCCATTTTAAAAAATAAAAATGGAAGTGAACAGAAGTGGCTGTGATGTGTCCAGAATGCCCCATCTGGAAAACTGTCATCTAGGTAATCTTCTTCCGCTTTGACTGCCGATCTGCATTCTGGGCTGGGGGCAGCGGGATAGACAGAGTGCCCATTCTGTGATCCTCTTCTCGGCCATCTGCCAGCGACACCCTTCTTTTGGAAACCTTCAGCCTCATGGCTTTTGCTATCTCAATCATCCTAAGGAAGAAACAGAACAAATGGAGATGCACTCTCCGTGTGCCATGTGGGTCTGGCAGAGGAAGCAGCACATTGTGTTCCAGGCTATGTAGAGGGGTTCTGTACTTCCACTGGGCTCCACCCCTAGATCCATGGAGAATCCTTCTCTCCAGTGACAGCAACTCAAAGCACAGAGGGGCTCCATTATTCAGGGCAGAATGTTATGAAAAGTTAAGGCCTGAAGCCCAATTGACCCCTCTTGGGAATGACCTTGGGGTAATTCATGACATCATGAAGCTCAGATTGTTCAGTTATTGTTAGGGCACTCAACGAGGGAGAACAAATGAAATAAATACCATGCAAAGAAAAGGTCCTCAAAATGCCTTGCCCCTCAATCATTCAGTCACTGAAACTGCTTTCTGTTCCCACATTTTCCCCATGAGACACCCCAAGTTCCCTTCAGCAAGGCCTTGTGTTCTCCAGCAATGCTAGGAATAAATCCAGCACCCTGCAGAGAGGCTGAGTCTGTTGTGCTCACCTTTTCTCACTGAGCTTCAAGTCCCTCTGTAACACTGTGAGGTCAATCTGGAAGTCACCTATGTGCAAGGCAAGTATGATCACATAGGCAGAGAGCTTTGCCTTCATGGAATTTGAAATTAAGTTCCGTAAACTGCAGAATGAGTGACAGTCAAGAAACAAAGTTAAATTCCAAAAGCAAAATAAGAACATCCAAGCCTTTCACTTTGCAGTCAGAGCCTTTTCTGGATGCAGAAGGGGTTCAAGCAACTGTCTTGTTCCTTACAAGGTGCCCAAGTCTCATAGTGAGTAGTGAGCCAGCCCCAGTGTTTCCCCCAAGAGAGACAGAAAGCCCTGCCCACATTTTTTCCAGGGGGTGTGGAAGCACTGATGAGTCTGTTACTGCCTGCTCAGAGCTGCAGGAAAGCAGCCACCCCAAACAGTGCTGCTGCTGCTTCCAGGAGCAGAAGCATGCTGCAGTCAAACAGCTGCAAGCCAGGCCAGGATGCTGTGTGGCACTCTCCTCCCTAAGTCACACACTGGCCTGCCCTTTTCTGCACAGCTGCCTTTTCCCAAAGCCCCACTGGCAACTCTGAGGAAGGGCTCCCTGAAGAAAGTGTGCAAACTAAGTCTACATTGCAGGGCTTCGTGAAGTCAAAGACAAAATTTTTCTTGATTCAGAAGCCTTTCACCAAATGGCAGTGACTTCTTTGGGACTGCATCTCTGTGGACATGGCATTGCATCTGGGCACCTACTGTTCACTCCTACCCCCACCTGCTTTCTCAAAAGACCCCAGAAATCATGCCTCCTGACCTGCCATTGTTGTAAGTCAAGCAGGTGAAGTGCTTAAGCAGCTTGGTGTTGATGATGTGGGGGATTCCAGGTCCCAGGGCACCTAGAACACAAAGTTGCATTTGATCAAGCCACACCCTCATGTATGGTGGGGAGAAAAGGCCCAATAGCTGGCCACTGCAATGTAAGAGAGCATGAGTCCAACATCCAGAGCAACCACTTTAAAATGAAAATATGCCCAGTGTGCTTCAGCCTGCAGATTAGACATGCACAAGAGCTGTCTGTGATGGGGGTGTGAAAAGACAGAAAGCCCGACTGTCATGAGGACTAGGAACACAGTAAGACATTGAGAAATAAAGTAGTTTGTGGATTGGGTCAGTGAGATGGTGCTGTTGCAAAGGCTCTTGCTGCTAACCCTGGTGACCTGAATTCAATCCCCAGAACCCCCATAGTGGAGGGAGAAAACTGACTCCTGCAAGCGGTCCTCTGACCTCCATACATGCACAATGGCATGTGCCCCACCGCTCTAAAAATCAATAAATGTTAAAGAAAAAGAAAAAGAAATAGGCTGTGGAAAAAGCGAAAGAAGGGGCAACCAGAGACTGGAATATGAAACTAAGAACTAAGCAGATACATCTCCATCCTTAGGTGTCCTGTCACAGTAACAATGGCTGATTATACCTTGTACTCCTGCTGGGTTTCCAGCTCTGAGTGGGTATGAATATTTGACCATCACAATTGGTCCTAGCAACAAGTAAAACTGAGCTTGTTGCCATTATAAACTGGCTCTCTTTTAGTCTAAAACTGTCCCAACAAAAACCTGCCCCAAACTGGGCATGGTAGCATACGCCTTTAGTTCCAGCACATGGGAGGCAGAGGCAGGCAGAGACAGGCAGATCTCTGTGAGATGGGGACCAGCCTGGTTTACACAGCAAGTTCCAGACTAGCTACAGGGAGACCCTGTTTCAAACCAAAAAATAACAAAAAACCTGCCCCAAGCTTTATAAGCAAGGCCTGTTTTTTTCCTCCTTATGTAACTGATACTTGTTCTAACAGCCTCCCTTAAATCTTTCGTTTCATTTGACCTGGATACGGTGTTTTGTCTAACGGAATAGAAGCAATGAATGTTCACTCGAGAAGGCCCCATTCAGCCTGTCCCTATTTCCAGAATAAAAAAAGAGAAATGTAGAGAGAAGAGAGCCCTGAGGGGCTCCAGCAGGTCACACCACCAGGAGGAACCACAAATGTTGCACTTAGGACTTGCATAGACATCCATTTTCTCCACTGGTTAGAACTGACAAATAATGGGCAGGAAACAATTCATAAAAAATGCTGTCATAGCAGACCCCAATCTTATCTAAAGGAATATTGGCAACTGATTGCTGCTAGATGAGGAAGACCTGATCTTCCTAAAACAAGGAACTCTAGATAGGCTGACTAGACTCAGTGGATGGACAAGCACAGGGGAATGGCTGGGGGCACCGACAACACAGTGGACAGTAACAGGGATGACAGAGCACAAGGGCTCCAGTGGCGGGGGGCGGGGGGTGCTATGGGAGGGTGCCGCTTGGGATGTTCTGTATGATATACACACACACACACAAAAAAAAAAATCAATAAATAAAAAAGTGAGTTACATTTGAGGAAGAAGCATAAAAATTTGCTTCATGTTAATTAGTAGAGGTGAAAAACATTACCATTGAAATCTACCTGACAACTTTATATCCATGCTCAGGTGCCAAGGATCTCGGAAAGTAACCAATTGCGACTAGTAATAATCAGATAGACAGATTAGAGATGCATGTGCAAACATCTAAGTGTTAGTTGTATTAAAAATGAATTTTTCTATATGAAACAGTGTATCTTAAAATGAAATGGAGATCTTTTTTAAAGGTTAAAACCTCAATTTATGTCTTACAGGGTTTATGCTGAGTACAATAAATACTGTATAATTGTATTAGTTCAACTGAACCTAAAAATTTACAGCCAATTTTGAAAGAGATGCATCTTTGCTCTGGAAATTGTTATTGAATATGTCAATGCTGTTGTAATGAAATGCTTCTTCTAATCATGTGGTTATTAAACAAATAATTTTAAAAATGCTGTCATGGGCTTACTTTTTCCCTTTATCACTTTCTGAGCTCGAAATCTGATGAGGGTGTCCAGAAACCAGATGCATCGGGCCTGGCGGTCTCGGCGCTCCTCACTCAGTGGTAAAGACTTCAGCATTTCTATGACAAAGGAGCAGTGGCTAACAAGGAAAAAGTAGAACATATGAGGGAAGGATGGGCTCTATCAGGAACCATCACCGGCATGCCCCCCATATACCCTGAGCAGTGAAGTGCCCACACTTAATCCTTACAAGAGCAGGGCTGTAGTGTAAAAGCAGCCAGACATGATTCTTAGCTGAGGGAACAGGGCTGCACTCAATCAAACTTTACTCACAAGGCAGCAGGCCAGATTTAGCCAGTTCAGTACCCTGAGTTAGTGATCAAGTCACAGACTGCACTCAAAACAGCCTGTGTTTGAATCCCTTCTCTGCCATTTAGTGGTTCAGGCAAGTTTCTTTATATGTCTATACCATAGTTCACCTCCAAACTGGGCTCAATGATAACCACACTCATGATAGGGCTTTTCCCCCTGTATTAAAGGAGACACTTGGGGCCAGCAAGATGGCTCACTAAGAAAAGGCCAGCCTAGAATACTTGTGAAATTTTGTTTAAAAAAAAAAAGATCTTGCTGAGTGTGGTGGCACCTGCCTTTAATCCCAGCACTAGGAAGGCAGAGGCAGGAGGATCACTGAGATTGAGGCCAGCTTGGTTTACATAGTGAGTTCCAGGCTAACTGAGGAAGACCCTGTCTCAAAAAGCACCGCCCCCCAAAAAAATCTAAAAGGAGGGGAGGGAGGGGAGCTTGAGAGATGGGTTAGTGTTAAGCACTTGCCAGAATGAGGATTGGATTTCAGATCCCCAGAACCCACACAAATACTGTAATCCCAGCCTCAAAAGATGAAGACACGAGCTCCCCACAACAAACTGGCTAGCAAGACTAGCCATAGCCACAAGCTCTGGGTTTGACTGAGAGACCCTGCCTCATTTAATAAAGTAGAAGAGCAATCAGGGATGACTTCCAACATCAATCTCAGCCCTCTACATGCGTGCGCGCGCGCACGCGCACACACACACACACGCCTCCTACATACATGTGAAAGAAAAAAAAATCTAAAAAGGCTATTTTAAGAAAAAGCTCAGGGGCTGGAGAGATAGCCCACCAGTTATGAGCATTGGCTGCTTTTCCAGAGGACCCAGGTTCAGTTCCGAACACCCACATGGGAACTAACAAGCATCCCTAACTCCAGTTCCAGGGGATCCAACACCTTTTTCTGACCTCTTTGAGCACTGAATGACACTGGTGCACTTACATGCATGCAGGCAATACACTCATACACATAAAATAAAAATAATAAATAAAATAGTTTTTTTAAAAAAGACAAAGGGGTGGAGAGATGGCTAAGTGGTTGAAAGCACTGGCTACTCTTGCAGAGGACCAGAGTTCAATTCCAAGTACCCACATGGCAGTTAACAACTATCTGTAACTCCAGTTCCAGGGGATCTGACGCTCTCTTCTGACCTCCATGGGCAACAGGTACACTTACATACATGCAGGCAATACATGCATACACATAAAATGAATAAAAATAATAAAATACCTATTAAAAAAGTTCAGAACCAAAAAAATAATCTAACCATCATTTTAAATAAGTTGTTTTAAATGGCAAAAGGGGAAGAAATTATCTCTTACTTAAATAAATACATAATATTTAAAATACACAAACTCAGCTTTAGAAGTTTGCCCAGCATACTGTCAAGGAGAAGTGATCACTCTGGCTAGCATCCAACCATTCCCATGCTAGTGTCTGGGCATTGCCAGTGACAATCAACACCAACACATCAGCTCTGTATTACACCCTCTGTCCAGCTACAGGTTCCACAGACCTATAGCTAGTTCCCTCCCTTGAATCCACCCACAGCTCCTAAAAGCTCAATGTCAAATGCTTGTTCCTTCATGTTCAAGGGCTGCGCAGACATCTCCCTGACGACTGAACCTCTGTCTAGCTACAAGTGCAGCTTTCTGACTGATACCCCAAGGTCTTGCTTTATGTCTACCCCATTTCCCAACATGACTCCACAGATGCCCCAACTGCCTCCATAGGAGCACCTGTTCTCTTCAATCATCTTCAGTATTTCTTCTGATGTGACCTTTCTGAAAGCTTCGGATGGGCTCTCAAGAGCGTCATACTCTGCCGGAGACAGAACTAATTGCAAGTCAAGAACACAACTAACCAAAATGGAAACCCAACTAGTTAAGTCATCTTGTAGTGGCCTCATTTTACAGATAGGAAAGTGAAGGCTCACAAAGGGGTTCACAGAGTAAGCAGGGCAGAGCTCAGAGACCCAGTTTTCAGACCCCAGCCCAGTGCTTTATTTCCTACGTGGGCCATTCTGCCTTCTCTTATCAGAGCCTCTGCCAACCTTTTCCATTTTGCCAGTCCCATCAAGGAGTGAAGTTCTATGCTCCAACCTTTTCTTTCAAAGTATTGGTCTGCTCTAGACTTTGGGCACTAGCCAAATCAAAGAATGCATTTTAACTATCCATGGAGAATGACCCCAACGGAGCTAAGCTGTGCCCATTTGTTCTGTTGCTAAGTAATGGGCTTGAATCCCAGGGGCAGGTCCCTCAGCTGATGAGGAAGCATAGCTGACAGACCTCTTGGTATCAGCACTGGGGCAGGATGTTGCTTTTATAAATGTCACAGGACCACAAGCACTCTCAAGAGAGCCTGGCTCTACCACATGCACAAACATCACAACCTGTGAATCAGGCAGCTTTTCTACTGCAAGGATACTGTCTTCAAATCTATACACATCTTCAGGCTTGGCTGCATCAGCATGGCAGGGAGGAAGGTAGAGGGAATCATCTTGCAAGTCGTCCTGGATAGCATCACTGACCAGAGCTTTCAATGAAGGCAAAATCAGTTTCAGTGCCACCCTGTCCCATTTCAGGTTTCCCAACACTCCATGAACCTATGCAATGGGGGCCACATGGTTCAAAACCCAGGTCTGACAACCTCTGCCAGGATGATCTGAAGTGCCCACCAAGCTGACCTCCAGGAATTCCTGCAACTGAGAAGTCCATACAGTGTTTGCCCCCAAGCAACTTGCAATAGAATTAGAGATGGCTCAGCAGTTAAGAACACTAGTCGTTCTTGCAGAAGACCCAGGTTCAAATCCCAGAACCCACATGGCAGCTAACAACTGTCCATAACTCCAGTCCCAGGGGATCCGACAGCCTCTTCTGACCTCTACGGGCACTGCATGACATGGGTGCACTTACCTACATGCAGGCAATACACACATACACATAAAATAAAAACAAATAAAATTTTTTTTTAAAAATTAGAGATATGCCTGCTAATAAATAATTGCAACACAGCATCAGAAAAGCTACAACCCTGTACCAAGAACCTATGTCCCTTCCCCTGCCTGTCTTCTCCCCTGGGACAGGACTATCTATGTCAGACTCCTGTACCTCCAGTTTGTCCCTGAGAAGGCCCTCAGCAAGCAGCAGGAGGGAATCCAGCCTTAAGGCCCATCACTTCCATCTGTGAGGTAGTAATAATCTTTGGAGAAAGCTATTGCTAAAGCACACTCTTACCATTCACACCCTTTGTATCAATGATATTCTCTGCAGCTTTAGCTACCGCAAGATTCAAAGATTCACTGCCAACTTTGTTCATTCTCCTGGAGTTCAGGGATCGCTTCTGTTTGGTGGTTCCAAAGGCTTCAATGCAAGAGTCCATCTGTGTAGGAGACAAGCCCAATTGCTGGGAACAGGCTGGACTACTCCTAGTTGTACAATCTGAGCTCTAGGCTCCCTGAGCCACAATTACCACACCTGTCAATCAGGCTGAGTCATACCTATCACACCTATCTACCTCATTGGATGATAAGACATGTCAGGACTAAGATTTGCTGTACTTACTCTCACTTATAAATCAACAGTTTTTGACCATCAGTACAAAAAGACTTGCCTAGACTTAGGGTTGGTAAATCTGTGGGGCACACAGGCTACCATTTTCCCAGTCTATACCAATATCAGACTTTGAGGGGTTTGGAGGTGTTTCTTTGTTGTTGTTTGGTTTGGTTTGGTTTTTTGAGACAAGGTCTCCTTATAGCTCCAGCTGGTCTGGAACTCACTGTGTAGATCAGGCTGGCATGGATTTCCCAGAGATCCGAGATCCACCTGCCTCTGCCTCTGCTGGGATTAAAGGCATGCGCCACCATGCTCTGAGTCATAAGGTAGTCTCTGAGCCCTTCTCATTACAGTGGCCCAGGCAGTGATGAAAAGTTCACTGTGTTTATGGTAAAGTTTCTAAGAACAACCATTTGCTACAACTTGGACCAAATCCTAAACAGTTTTCTGCTACACTTCTCTCAGCCCAAGAACAGGTCTGCTCTCTGGGAGACCAGGCCTCTGCAGGTAGCAACCATGCAGAGAATCAATAGGCCAAACAAGCTAGAGCAGCCAGGAAGACCCGAGTTCAGTGAAGCTGTTACTACACCAATAAAGAACCTGAGCCTAAAGGAACTTAACTCTGCCATACTCACCTTTTCTCTGAAAGTTTTGGTCTGATTCTGCAAAGGAGGTTCAGGTTCAAGTGCCTCATCTATAGAAACATAAAACACAGAAACAAGGGAAAAGCTAACAGTAAGGCTTACTTTTTTTTTTTTTTCTGTCTTTTTGGTCTTTCTGAGACAGTCTCCCTGTAGCCCAAGCTTGCCTAGAACTCACAGAGATCTGCCTGCCTCTGCCTCCCAAGTGCTGGTATTAAAGGCATTCACTACCACACCTAGCTACTTTTTTTTTTTAATGGGGTCTCACAATGCTGCTCAGGCTGGTCTTGAACTTGTAAGCTCAAGTGGTCCTTCTGTCTCAACCTCCTAAACCAGGACTATAGACATGAGCCAGGAACTCACTATGTAGATCAGGTTGGCCTTGATCTCACAGAGATCCATCTGCCTCTGCCTCTCAAATTCTGGGATTAAAGGCATGCACCACCATGCCCAGCCCAGAAAAAGAGATTTCTTTATTCCAAGATTTCCCTAACATGAATGTACACTGTGAATATTTAATGTGTCGCTTAGTGTGTACACTAAAAGAACTAGGGAATAGTTTAAGGGCTCCAATGAAGGTATCATCTCCTCCAACCTTTTCATTTCATATACAAAAGGCCCCAAGCTACAATGACTTATCCAGGTCAGTTCCCCAGGGAGGGGCAGAGCAAAGAGACTCAGAAACCAAGTCCTTGGCTCATCCCATAAATACATTAGCTTTCCTGGTAAGTGACATAGAGGTAGGCATAAATATCTTACATGACACTCTCCAACCTTCCAGTAAGTACTCAAATCGCAGGTAGTATAATCCAGGGGACAAGAGCACAGATTCTAGAGTAGCCTTGCCTGAGCTGGCTCAGCAGCAGGTCACCTGACCTCAGTGCCACAGTGGTGCCGTACACCTTTAGTCCCAGTACTTGAGAGGCAGAGGCAGGCGGATCTCTGAATTCAAGGCCAGCCTGGTCTACATAGTTCCAGGACAGCTGGGGCTACAGGAAGACCCTGTCTCAAAAAGACCAAAAAAAAAAAAAAAAGAAATTTATCAGTGGGTCTGGAGGGATAGCTCAGCAATTAAGAGCACTGGCTGCTCTTACAGAGGACCCAGGTTCGGTTCCCAACACCCATGGTCCATGGGATTCTTCTGGCCTCTGGCATACACATAGTTTATTTACATACATGCAGGTAAAACTTATATACATAAAATAAAAATAAATAAATCTTGCTGTATAAGGTGGCACTCATCTTTAATCCCAGCATTTGGGAGGCAAAGGCAGGCAGATATGAGTTCAAGGCCAGCCTGGTCTACATAGTGAGTTCCAGGCCAGCTGGAGCTCCAGGGAGACCCGCTCTCAAAAAAAAAAAAAAAAAAGAATAACAGTATCCATGAAGCCATGAAGTAAGCTATGTAGTGCTCATTGAAGGTCTCTGGAACAGTGACAAGTACACAGCAAGGACCCAATACTAAGGCTGTGTGTGTCTGTGTTTGTGTGTGTGTGTGTGTGTGTGTGTGTGTGTGTGCGCTAGCTAAAATACACCAGTATTTTTAAACTATTTACATACAACACAAATGCATCTAATCAAAAATTACAATTTCCCCTTGGCATTTAGAACATTTGGAGACTGTTTTAAATGTATTTGTTAACAAGGTAGTTCTTAACCTCGAGTCTGCAAACTACTAAGAAATGTATAGCAAACATAAAAATTCCATTTTTGCATACCATGTGTTATGTCTGGAAAGTAGGTCCAGATCATATCTGATTTTCAAAAGGGATAGAACAAGTGCCCCTGCAGGTACCAGGCAGATACCAGTCTGCATGAGCCTTCCTTTGCTCACACCCTCCTGGTGGTAGTTTTCAGCATTTAAGGGCAGCACTAAGGAGCTGAGTTTTGAGGTCAGAGGACGGGAGCCTCTTGAGTCTGGTATCATTTTGGAATACTTCCCTCTCTCCCTGAGTGTTCTAAGATGGCAAAGCTGAAAAGCAACACAATTTCTACTAGATTAGGAAAAAAAATACACTGTTCCCAAATTAGACAGTATGGAGACTTTTCACGACATGAAATGTCCAACCTATCACCAACGTCCTTACCAAAGATTCTAAAACCTCTACCAGCAAAACAATGAAGAATTAAGTAAAGAGGCTCAGTGGGTAAAACACTTGCCGAAAACTCAGGTAAAGCGATGATCAGTGGGTAAAGCACTTGCCGAAAACCAGGTAAAGCCAGGCACAGTAGCCTGTGTCTGTGATCCCAGTGCTCCTACAGTGAGACAGGAGGCAGAGGCAGAAGCCCCAGAGCTGTGCAGCAGTTACTGCACCTACACAGGGCCAACAAGAGCCAATATCACCTATGAGGCAGAAAGTGAGGACCAACACCCAAGATTGCCCTTTGGTCTCCAGATATGGTACACACACACACATGCATGCCCTCCCCCTCACACACATACACACTCACACAAATTAAGAAAAGCCCATGATGGAAAAGAATTTGCTTATTAGATCTCTGCTAACATTCTGTACAGATGATTGTCCAACTTGCTTTAAAGTTTAGTTTCTGATCACATCTGTAAACACTGTGGGGACAGGGTCTGTGTCTGACTTCTCATGCACAATCCCTGATTTGATGCTTGAGGTATAGCAGGTAGCTAGCCTCAAGCCTGCCAAATTAAAAAAAAAAAAATCTATAACTTTTAAAATAAAAAAAATGGGCTGGAGAGATGCCTCAGCAGTTAAGAGCACTAGCTGCTCTTTCAGAAGACCCGGGTTTAAATCCCAGCACCCACATGGCGGCTAACAACCATCTGCAACTGCAGTTCCAGGGTATCCGACACCCTCTTCTGACCTCCACAGGTACTGCACAACATGGGTGTACTTACATACATGCAGGCAATACACTCATACACATAAAATAAAAATAATAAATAGTAAAAAAGAAAGAAAAGAAATGAAAAATGAACTAATTCAGTATACCCAAACGCTGTAGCCTTCAAGTGAATCTTCATCTCTGGAACCTACCAGCAAACAGTGGTTGCATGTTGAACAATTCAGCATCATATACTTCCATTTGGCTGGAGGTCTTATTCAAAATCCCCACAAAGTGTCTGAATAAAGGAGTTATACCATGAGTATTCAAAAAGACTGTCTACACAACTTCCCTTTTCCCAGTTACAAGCTCCCAACCTTCTTTCTGCCTGAGGAAGGTGTCTACTTGCTACCTTGTAATGACAATCCTCCAGCAGCAATTCTCTTCATGGAAAGGGAAAAGTCGGGGGATGAGAAGGAAAGGGATGGGAAATGGTTATGGATAAAAAGGCCACCAGGTGATTCTGATAATACTTGGATTCGCTGCTGTTCTGGGGTATAAGAATCTAGAATTACACTAGAATTTTCTGTGTATATAAATTTTATGGAGGCAAAGGGAGAAGACCAATCTGAACTAGATTATCTCTGTAAGGCAGTGATGCAGTGTTATGTTTGAAACACATGTCAATCTGCCTTGAACCTGGGTATGGTCCAGAAAGGGCTCTGAAAGGTCTTCACCATGGTTCACTGTTGTACCATCATAGGGACCCCCATCTTCATCGTCTCAGCCCTGAGAATTAGTTTGTTTAGGCTGCACAGTGTGTATTATACTGGAGAGGACAGGGGTGAGTAAAGGGCAGAGTTGCCAAAGTCATTCAGTCCATCAGTGACACTACGGGAGGGATAATTTGTCCCAGCCAAGAGTATTGAGGGTTACTAAATCCTTTTCTTCTACTTAGTCGCAAAGCAAAACTCAGACAAGCTTTGACCTATAAATGACACTTTAAATTAGTAGAGAGAGCTGTCTTTTAGGATAAGACAGTCACAAATAAATGCTATAACCAAATAAGGTCTTTAGAAAATTTAACAAATAAAAGTCATCTTTTCCTTTCCAGGAGTGCCTATAGGCTGGTGGAAGGGACCTCTGAGTCTAGTAACCCTCCACGGATTCCTCCAACTGCCCCCAAAATAAAGACTGAGGACATCTGTGACAGTATCACTACCAACACCCTCCTCGTCCCTATCACCCTTGTCACTGCCCAGTTGCCCACTGTTACCTGCAGAGAGTATTGCATTTGAGGGCACCAGTTCCAAAATTGTTTCCAACATAGGAAAGCCTGTCTGTTTCAGCTGCCTAAAATAGAGGGAGGAGAACTCCATTTATGACACTGTTGAAAGGTATTAAGCATGGACTTTTTTCTACATGTGCTTTAGAACCCAGGACCACAGTGAATCAGCACTAGAAAACCTCCCAGGAGATGATCCAACCCCATCATTCCCACCAGGACTCTGGGATGTCTCTGGGGGAAAGACAAGAAAACTCTGGAAAGCAAAGTCCCAAACAGTTCAGGCTTCAAACTGGTAAAGCTCTTGGGGAAGGTGACACATGGGGCTACATGAAATTCAAAAAGTCTACACATCAAAAGAAACAATACTGAGAGCAAAGAGATAGCCTATAGAATGGGATAAGTCTTTGCCAAGTATGCAATGAACAGGAATTAATATCTAGAATATATATAGAACTCCAGAAATTAAATACCAAAAAACTTCAAATAATCCAGGCAATAAATGGGCTAATAAGCTAAATATAGTTCTCAAAAGAAGAAATAGAAATAGCTAATAAATACTTGGAAAGTGCTCAACATTCTTTTTTTTTTTTAATTTTTTTTTATGTGTATGCGTGTATTGCCTGCATGTAGGTAAGTGCACTCATGTCCTGCAATGCCCATGGAGGTTAGAAGAGGCTCTTGGATCCCCTGTAACTGGAGTTACAGACAGTTGTTAGCTGCCATATGGGTGCTGGGAACTGAACACAGGCCCTCTGCAAGAGCAACTAGTGTTCTTAACCACTGAACCATTTCTCCAGCCCCAGGAGTTATATTTTTTTTAAAATGGTTAAATCATAAATAATACTCATAACCCGGGTCTTCTGCAAGAACAACCAGTGTTCTTAACCACTGAGCCATCTCTCCAGCCCCCCCCCCTTTTTTTTAATGTGTATGAGTGTTTTGCCTGAATGTATGTAAGTGTACCACATGCATGCAATGCCTATGGAGGCTGGAAGAGGGTGTTGGATCTCTTCAAACCGGAGCTACAAAAGGTTGTTAGCTGCCATGTGGCTGCTAGGGACTGAACCCAGGTCCTCTACAAGAGCAGCCAGTGCTCTTAACCACTGAGCCATCTCTCTAGGGCACCCCCCCTCTCCCATGTTCAACATTCTTACCCATCAGAGAAATGCAAACTAAAATTGCTTTGATGCCCAGTGAGATGGCTCAGCCTGTAAAGGTACTTGCAGTCAAGTTGATGACCTCAGTGGGATCCCAGGGACCCCACATGGTGAAAGGAGAGAATCCAACTCCCCAAGTTGTCTTCTGACTTCCACATGCAAGCCATGTCATACATTTGTCTACATACATACTCACTCACATACAGTCACACAATAAACAACAGCTTTGAGGGTGGCAAAATGGCTCAGCAGGAAAATGCACTTGCTGCCAAGTACGATGGACTGAGTTAAGTCCCCAGGACCCACATGGTGGAAGGAGAGAACTGGCTCCCCCAAGTTGTCCTCTGACCTCCACACACCAGTCACACCATGTGTGCACCCACAATGTAAATGGGTCCACTAACTATGGAGGTCAGTGTGGAGAGTCTTCAAAAACTAAAAATAGAACTACCATATGATGCAGTTATGCCTCTGCTAGCCACATACCCAAATGACTCAAAAGTTAGCACACTTGCATTCATGTTTACTATTGCACTATCCATAATAGCCAAGAAATGAAACAGCCTCCATGTCCATCAGGAAATAGATGAATCTCGAAAATGTGGTTCAGATACATGATGGGATTTTTTTCAGCTATAAAGAAAAATGAAATCATGACAGTAGGAAAATGGGTAGATTAGTAAATTAAGTGAAATAAGCCAGACTCAGACAAATATCAAGTTTTCTCTCATATGTAGGGTCTAGATTTACATTTGTGTTGTGTGTAGAAAAAGGCCTTTCAGAGGAGAAAAAGAGGTCTGAAAACAGGAGGGGGACAAGAGAGTAATGTAATATTACGTCAGGAAAGAAAGAGGGAGAATTATATGGGAGGGAAAAAGGGAACCAGCAAGAGGGCAAGGGACGGTGGCAGTGGACAGGAGGCAGAAGGAATAAAAATTTTTAAGTTGAGAAAAGTTCTTGAGGGAGTTGTACCACAGAACTAGACAGCAAAGTCCTGGTCTTCCAGCACTTACAGGTGTGAGATAAGGTGATTATGTAATTGCCCTGACCCACAGTCCACCTGGATCTTTGATGACCGTTCTCAGGACAACTCTTCCTATATTGCTGTGGTCCCTGGAAATGGCTGACTTCGCTATCACAGTCAGGTTTTCCTGCTCCCCTGCATAAGTCCTTACTGTATTTAAGAACACTCTCAGCAGGCATTCTTAACTCTGGCATCTAGTGAGTAAAGGCCAGAGATGCCACTCACTCAGATGTCACTAAGCATCCTGTGATGCACAGGTCTGCCACTCACAATAAAGAATTACCAGGCTGGAAATGGTGAGCTCCCTAAAAGTGCAGTCAAATCTCAGTTGCTTTCTAAGCCTGCTATACAAGCAATAAAGTATTCAATAAGTTTATGTTGAAACAAAATAAATGAAGTCATGATTTCAAAACCAAAATCCCTTTCAGTGGAGTCTACCTCCATACCCCAAGCTGCTGAGGTCAGAGTTCTTCAGGCCTATTTGCCACACCCCCTTTTTTCCTTTCATGCCCTCCTCTGTCTGCCCACACCAAAGGTCTGCTGCGACTTGGAGAGCGCAGGCAACCTGAACCTGCAGCGCTTACCAGGATCCGCTGACTCCTTTTCCTGGGGTTTTCCGAGTCGTCGCTGTTGTACAAGGTAAAGCGCACGTTGCCCGGATTCTGCAGCTTCCCATTGGAGAACTGGACTGTAAGAGTGCGGCCCACGAATGAGATGAGGGCAGAAGGACCAGCGGGGCATGGTAGGGAATAACTGCGGTGTTGTTGGTAGAGAGAGGGCTGTCAGAACCGGACCGCAGGGACGCTCACGTCCTGATTTTTAAGGGAACTGAAGGAAGTCCTAGTCCAGCGCGAAAGAGGGCGATGGCAGAGGGTAGAAGACCTGGCAGTCCCTGGGCAGGGGCTGTGACAAGAGAGGATAACCAGGGCAATGTGGAACTCTGCTCAGTGGAGGGGAAGAGAACGCTGAGAGGCCTGGTGAGGGGATGGATGACCGGGTCCGGGTCCCAGTCCTCGGGAAGTGGGGCTGGTGAGGAAATAGATGACGGGGTCCGGGTCTCAGCCTTCGGGTGGGGGGTGCTGGTGAGGGGATGGATGACGTGATCCGGGTCCGGCCCTGGGGGGTGGGGGGGGGTAACAGGATGTTCTCGCGTAGCTGGGAGGTATCGACAGAAGGACGGCGGGACAGCAGGGGGTCCGTCTGGGCACCAGGTTAGAGACCCTGCAGCCGGGCGGAGGGGTAGGGCCCCGCGCAGGCCTTACCAAGCACAGCTCTCTGCCTCTCGTCCGGCTCCCCACAGTACAGCCACCTCGCCCTCCGCAGCCCCTCGGCCACCTTGTCGCCGTTTTGGCGCTCAGGGCCAGGAGACTCCAGAGAAGCCATAAACGCGCTGGTTAACACGCGGAATCCCGGCTAACGCTGAAGCCCGGAAGTGACGCGTGGGCCCGCCCCCTTTGTTGCTAAGGGCCCGCCCACTCCTGGCTCCACCCCCTCCGCTTCGGATAGGCCCAGCGCCGGGTTCCTACAGGGTTTGCTGGCATCTGCAGCCCTAGCGCATCCTGAGCGTCCGCGTTGGCGTTGTCTAGTAGCACTGTCTTTCCTACCCAACGAAGATCTCTTCCCAGGACCTGAAAAGGCCCCGTTGACGTTTAGCGCTCTCGCACATGAACTTAGAGCACCAAGTAGAAGCCGCTACTCCGCAGTGCTTCCTCTCCACACTCGCCCATAGCCATACACGCCTCCCACCACCATCCCTCCTCTGCTAGGGGCGTGCATGCGTTTGTGGCCCATCCAACCCCGGCAGGATGGGACCATGGGAAGAGGCACCAAGAGCTCGGAGCACTGGGGCAGGAGCTTCTGACGCGGACTAGGAGAGCGAGTCTTAGCTGATGGGAGGATTCAACAACCTTTCTTCCTCACGGGGCACTGTAGTAAGGGGTCCCAGGCTAAAAGCCCCTTTGCCTTTTGAGAACCCCACGTCCACCTCAACACCCAGGATATTTTAAATGTCCCTAATGCCTGCTTGCCTCTCTGCGTGAACCTGTCATACTTTTCAAATTACCCACTCATAGAAACTTTGCAACCCATAGAAGCATTTCGAGTACACTGCATAGAAGTATTTCTCCTGAGCTTTGAAACTGAAAACCTGATAAATACCACACTCACCAGGAAAGACTAGAATTTCCAACCAACAAGGGTTGCTATATATAGTTTGAGTGTGGACTGTTCCTCCAACCACCAAGTTTGTTTCTCAGCCTATGAGGCCCTTGGGAGGCGCTGGAAACCTTTAAGAGGTGAGGCCCAGTGAGCGGTCTTTAAGACACTGTAGGGCATGGCCTCAAAGGGGATAGTGCCACTCCAGGCCCCTCTTCCTCTTCTCTTCCATACCTAGCTGGCAGGTGAGAAGCTTTGCTTTACCACATGCTCCTAATGTGATGTGCTGCCTCTCCACAGAACCAAAGCTATAGAATTGAAACTACAAACCAAAATAAACCTTTCTTCTTTATAAATTGATTATCCCAGATACATTGTTACACTAATGAAAGCTGACTAATGCAAGGACTAAATACAATGCAGTCACCCTAATTAGGAAATTAACATTGATGCATTGATGCAATTCTCACACACTATTCAACTTCATCAACTGCCCCACTGCTGTCTTTATAGCTAAAAAGATCCTTTCAAATAATCATGTGTTGCTGCTGCCACTAGCACTATAATCCCAGCACTTGGGAGGCTGTAGTAAGAAGATTGCTGTGAGTTTCAGGCTAGCTTTAAGACCTGTCTAAAAATATAAAAATAAAAATAATCATGGCTTGCATTTAGCTGTCACAGCTCTTTGTCTGATTGGAAGGCTACTTTCTTTGACTCTCCCTAATGGTTTTTGGATTGAATTTTCAAGAAGGTGAAAGAAGGATGATGAAAAAGATTTCATCCTCTGATTTGTCTGTCTCTTCTGTTGATTTTTTTCCACACTAAACTTACTTGAAGTTAATAAATAATTTTGGAGTTAAACTAGAAGCAAATTTCTGGGGGTTTTGTTTTGCTTTGAAACCAGGCATCAAAAAGGAGCATGGTAAGCAAACTGCATTTGGTAGTCAAGTACAAATGGGTAGAGGAAGAGGCTGAGGTTCCACTATCCCCTCTGAGCTGAAGCTGTCTTCAAACTTGGTGTGTTTGGTACCCGGAATCATCACTAATCCTGGGAGCCTAGAACAGGGAGTATATCTCAAAGATGCTTAGTAATGTTGGTTGAAACCAATTAGCATAGGATGTATACATAATACTCTAAATATTCATTGGTTAAATGAAATGAAGTTAGGTCAAACTTAAGAGGTGCCAAAGAAGGAATCAAATGTTCTTGAGATAAGTGTCTTAAGCCTTATAATACCAGAGCAGGTTGTATGGCCTTGCTACTCAGTGTTGTGTTCTGTGGAAACAGCAGCATCAACATTACCTGGAGGCTCGATCAGATATTCTCACTAGAAATTAGCAAGTGATTTGCTTATAAATAAAGTGTAGGAAACGCTGTTATACCGGAATGGGTCCCTTTTAAGGCACTTCTTTTCAAGGCAGACATAATTTCAGAAAGTCCTCTGGATTGGCTGCTTTGTTGCTGGGCAGGGGGCAGAGTGGAGGGCTGAAGTGTACCATAGACCTGTGGAGACTCCCTGAGTTACCAGAGACAAGAATTCAAAGGATAGGGATTCTACCCAGCAAAGGAAGTGTTAGTGGTGGGGCAGTAGGAAGGCATTGTAGTATATCCCAAATTTGTTCAATTATTTATTATTGTTTTTGTTTTTGGTCTTTTTGAGATAGGGTCTCCCTGTAGGCCCAGCCGACCTGGAACTATGTAGAGCAGGCTGGGCTTGAACTCACAGAGATCCACCTGCCTCTGCCTCCCAAGTGCTGGGATTAAAGGCATGGCTGATTATGTTCATTTCTAAGTATCTCTACTTCTTCATTAACTTTGGGGTTAACAAAAATAATTTTTCTTTGAAACAGGATCTTATTATATATTACCCAGGCTGTCCTCAAACTCACTATGAAGCCCAGGTTAGCCTAGAACTTACAATCTTCCTGCTTCTACCAGCTGAGAATTAAGACTACAGGTGTGTCTCCAGTTATATCACCCTGAGCATGCCCAATATCATCTGATCTTGGAGGCCAAGCAGGTTGTGCCTGGTTAGTACTTGGAAAGGAAATTATAGGTGTGTGCTACCACACCCAGCTACCAAAAAACTGACTTTCCTTCAGTCACAACACGCCATCCTTGCTACAATGATTCGGAGCTTTATATTAAAGCCTATTAAACCAAAACATATTAGATCCAACCTGCTCAGATATCTTAATTTTTCCAAACAACATAATAATTTTCAAAAAATTAGTAAAGTAATATATATTTGATGAAGAGTGTCAGAAAAATGCAGAAAACTATGAAGAATTATATTGTAATAGCCTATGATTGCACAATGCTCTAAAAGCAAGTTATTGTTAACACCCTATTTTATTTCTTGGATTTATTTCTTTGTATATGTATTTTTATAAAATTGATAATCTATTGTATTCATTTCTGTATCCTCTCTTTAAGAAAAGCAATGTCCTATGCACAGTAATCATACTTGTAATTTTAGCACCCTGAAGAATGATTAGGGAAGATCAGGAGTTCAAGGCCAACCTAGGCTATAGGACTCCGTCTTTAAAAAAAAAAAAAAGCAAGCTGGGGCTGGAGAGATGGCTCAGTGGTTAAGGACACTGGTTGTTCTTGCAGAAGACCCATGTTCAAATCCCAGCACCCACAAGGCAGCTAACAACTGTCCATAACTCCAGTCCCAGGGGAACTGACAACCTCTCTTGACCTCTGCAGACATTGCACAACATGGGTGCACTTACCTACATGCAGGCAATACATGCATATACATAAAATAAAAATAATAATTTTTTAAGTTAGTCAGCTAGAGTTGTTATAACAAAACAACATGGGTGGCTTTGTGGTTATTGTTTTCAAATATTTATTTATTTATTTGTGTGTGTGTGTGTGTGTGTGTGTGTGTGTGTGCGCGCGCGCGCACGCACCACATGTATGAAAGTGCCTGAAGAGGCTAGAAGAGGCTGTCCAATTCCCTGGAGCTGGACTTAAAGGTAGTAATGAACCACCTGCCATGGGTGCTAGGAGCACTGACCCATCTCTCTGGTTCCTGTTGTTGTTGTTGCTTTAAGAGAGGATTTCACATAGCTCAAGCTAACCTTGATCTCCAGATCCTCCTGCCTGCCTCTCAAGTGTGACGGTTGTAGGCAAATGAACAATGCTTTAATAAGCTTTATTTAGGGCCAGTGGAATGGTTCAGCCAGTAAAGTTGCCTGCTGTTGAGTTTGATATTTGAGTTAATTCCCCAGAACCTACAGGTTAAAGAATAAAACTGACTCCTGAAAGTTGTCTTTTGTGTGCATGTGTCCCTCCTTCCACATAGATAAACATTAGAAACAAAGGGGAAAAAAAAACCAACTTTTTTAGAAAGGCTCCATTTTATGTTTACTGCCTTGGGCATTGAACTCAGGATTTTGCACATTTCTATACAAGTGCTTTGCCACCAAGCTATATCCTCAGTACCAGTGGATGGCTTAATATTGCTCAAAGTTCTGGAGACTGGGAAGTCCAATATCAAGACTTACTTCCGCTGGCTTGCTCATTAAAATTTAATAACCACATGATTAGAAGAAGCATTTCATTACAGCTTTAACATACTCAGTAACACACTCCAGAGCAAGGATACATCTCTTTCAAAAGTGGCTGTAAATTTTTAGGTTCACTGTTGAATTAATACAGTTATACAAGATTGAACTCAGTATAAACTCTGTAAGATATAAAATTGAATGAGTTTTTACCCTTTAAAGAACTCCATTTCAATATATGCTGTTTCCTACATTTTTAATATTATTTTTTTAGAAGAAGCATATCATTACAGTTTTAACATGCCCAGTATAAACTCAGTATAAACTCTGTAAGATATAAAATTGAATGAGTTTTTAACCCTCAAAAAAGATCTCTATTTCATTCTAAAATATACTGTTTCTTACAAAAAGACTCATTGTTTTTGCTACTAGCGCTGAGATGTTAGCACATGTGTCTCTAATCTGTATGTATCTAATTATTACTAGTCATAATCATTTGCACTCGGATCCTTGGCGCCTGTGTATGTCTATAAAGTCATCGGGTAGATTTCAATGGTAATGTTCATCACCTCTACTAATTAACATGATGTAAACTTTTATGCTTCCTCCTCAAATATAATGCATTTTTTAAAATTTTATTTTTTGTGTGTGTGTTTATCACACAGAACATCCCAAACCATCTTAATCAACTATACATCCACTTCCCAGATGGCACCCTCCCATAGCCTCCCTCCCCCCACTAGAGCCCTTATACTCTGTTATCCCTGCTACT